ATATATATACAGAGAGATTACTATATTATAAATGCAAATTTTTTTTAAATATTAAATTGTTAGGATAGATAAAACTGAATATTTTCTGAATTAAATGAATCAGCAAAGATTACAAAGATTATAGGTAGAGAATTTAAGGCAAAATATGAAAATATTATAAATTAAGTTTAATTTAAAACGTAATAAAATCTTATTCAAAATTATTCAAAATACATATAAAGATAATGTAATATTTTAAAAAAAAATTTAAATAGAACCATTATAGTTTGCCTTTTTAAATCTTATAGTTTCTTTCCAACTAGGCTGAATCATTTACATTACCTATGAGCCTATGATGTTTATTAGGAAATTGATATGTTTAAAAGAAAATATAAACTATAAAATCTACAAATGTAGCCATATACTGTATGCTAATCTCAACGAAAATTAAAATTTGGATAAAGACAAACATGACTCTAACAAAGCATTGACGGACTCATTACAATTATTGTATGGGAAAAAATAAATTTATTTTAAGTAAAAATAAATTCTTTTGATATTCTTTACTTGAGTTTTATACAAACTTTAATACAGCTTTTAAGTTTCTGAAAAATTGCACATTGATTAATTTAAGATAACTGCTTTTAAACATTGTTGGGATTTCATCTGCGTGGAGTCATAAAAAAACGAAAAAAATTTTTTTTAAATAAACAAAAATTTAAAAAAAACTGAAAACTGAAAAAGTAGAGGTTTTAGTCAGGATGTAATCCTCTACGAGTTATTTCAAAACCATGCACTTGAAAAACATAAACAGAAATCAATTTTTAAAAACAATGAAGATTTGAAAAGAATGAAAAGAAAAAGGAACGTAAAAACGTTAGCACAATTACAAAATGCAGTTGAATTCTGCTATTTATGAAAAAAAAGCTAAAATTAATTTGCTGTTATCTGATTAAATCATCAACCAAAATTAAAAGCATCACGAATAGTTTTATCAAATTTAACCATTTTTAACCGAATCAATCTATCATACAATCTTTCATAGCAATAAATTCTACAAAAATTACATCGGTGTCATCCTACATGCAGTGATCGATGGTGTCTGCCTATTCATACATTTAATGAATAAAGATGAAAAACAGGAAACACTGGAAAAATAAATTTCAATTTAGGTTACAAAAATAAAATTTTGTTTAATTCGGTAATAAAAAGTTCAAACTAGTCCGACCAGTGACATTCAAAATAGTTTTTTATAATAGGATTCTTTTTTACCTTAAAATAAAATCAGATCTAATATTATCTTTAAAAAATTAACTAAATTTATGTCCTAAATTATTAATAATTTCGTCAAAATAAAGTTGAAAAAATGAAGAAGAAAAATTGCTGATATTTAAATATGTTTTAATTTCATCAATCACTTATACAAATTCCTAATTATTAGAATATTTCCTGTAAAATTTAAGAATAGTTATTATATTGCGTAACAATTTATTGGCTAAAATGCAATTAAAAATCACTACACTTTTTATCGGAAAATCGCTTTCAAGCCTTTTGTCAAAAAGTTTCAAGAAATTTTGTCTATCTTCACTTAAATTATATTTAAAATCTAGAAATTTAGCTAAAAATGTGAAATGCTTGTTCTATTAAGCATTAATTGACATGGAAAAATAAAATATCGTAACTAAAATATCATCAATAAACCTGAAAAAGAACAATTTTAAAGGTAGATTAAAATTATCAAATGTCCTAACGAATAGAGAAAGAAACATTCTTGGATTAAAAAAAAAAGATATTTAAACTATAATGCTAAAATAATTGTCCATATGGACTCAAATAATTTGTTGAAACCGATAATTATCAAATAGAATATAATTGTTGTTTATATTTATTTAAACAAGATATTTCCATTTTTCTTCATCTATTATATCATTAAGATTAAATAGGCTATGAAGTTTAAATGGGATGCTTAAATTTTATAAATTGAAAGGATTTATATAGGTCAAAACATAATCGTTTTTCGTTCTACGTAACTTTGGCGCNGTTTATATTTATTTAAACAATATATTTCCATTTTTCTTCATCTATTATATCATTAAGATTAAATAGGCTATGAAGTTTAAATGGGATGCTTACAATTTTATAAATTGAAAGGACATGGAAAAATAATATATAGGTCAAAAAAATTTAGCGAATCACAAAATTCTTAGAGAATCAAATAATTTTAGAAGCCAAAAAATATTTAGAGAATCTGTTTTATCCAAAGTTCAGGTTTTTAATCATTTGTGCTATTTTTAATTTAGATTCGATTTTTTTTTTGTAAAATCTGTAGTTTATTTTTTTTAAATAAATGCCTATATTTTTATGCCTCTTGTTACTATTGATGTCACTAAATATATATAAGGATGGCAGTCATGAGAGCAGAACAAACAGGCACAGGATTTTAAAAAGAGCAAATTTATTTTATTTAAGCATTATGTGATGATGAGAAGAGAGAGAGAGTGAGACAAAATCGTCGTGCTGTTCCTTAAAGGTTTGGGAAAATCCGTTAAATGTCTCGTTTTAGGGAATAAGGGAAATCTTATTAATTGTAATTGATTTATTAAATAGGTCGCGATTCCTACAAAGATCAAATGGAAAAATGTCCTACTTATAATTAATGCATACTTGAACCAAAATAAAAAGTGAGAGAAAGCGTTTTGTTTTGAATAATAAATTAAGAAAAGTATTTACAGAAATATGTATATATATATATATATATCAGTAGAGTCCCGATTATCCGAGTTAATGGGGACCGCAACAAACTCGGATAACTGAAAAACTCGGTAAAAGCGAAGAGTATAAAAACGGAAAGAAAAAGAGAAGGTATATATGTAATATATTTAAGGAATACAAAATGTATACGAGTATACCACATACAATTCATATTATAATTAAAAAGTTTACTTAAAAACATTCAAAAAGCATACTTTACGAGAATTAAATAGTTTTTACTTAAAAAAAGTCCTTAATCGTTTTTCGTTCTACGTAACTTTGGCGCTTTTCTGTAGTAATGTTTCGCCTTTTTTAAGGATAACAGGAAGGCTGGTGTCGCCTCTTTTTGTTGTTCTATATATTTAATAGTACATTCGATAGCTTTTAGTCCATCTGTATGAGAGATTTTTATATGTTGATTTTAATAATCACTGTCTTCATCATCTTCGCTAGATTCATTATCATTATTGACGATATTAACGATGATTTCATCAGACCAAGTTGTTGGATTTTATTTTTCTGAGTGTCTGGAAGATAAAATTCAGATTTATTTTTCAGCGGTTTTTTTAAAAATAAACTAGAACAAAAAAAATCCTTGAAATATTTTATAGCTCGGTTAAAGCGGAAACTCGGATAACCGGGGCTCGGATAATCGGGACTCTACTATATATATATATATATATATATTTCAGTAATATAATTTTGTAACTGAAAAAATAAACGTACCTGTCGCAAACAATAATCTGATAGAAGCGAACTATGAGAAACCACGTGCTCGATAGAAAATATGTGTCTTGATGAGAGAGCACGTGTTCTGGGCAGCGCGCGTCGTGGTCGGCGAATGGAGGATTTTTATCCAATCAGAAGAGGAGAGAGTCGCAGTCGATAGAAGCAGAATTGAAGCCCATCAGTGAGTCGAAAGAGCAGAACTAGAAAAGCTGGCTACTCTTGTATCCTCGCATGTTGGAGTGAAAGCCAACGAAATAAACGTGGCAGGCCCGCCGATTCTCTGGGATCACGTGCTCTTGCAGTACGGACGTCCCGTGCCCCCACGAGAAATGACCTCTGCAATGGTCATGCCACCCCCCTGCAAAACTGAAACTAGAATTGAAACTAAAAAAATAGCAGGTAAGCCTATGGCATATTCTATTTTAATCCTAGGTTTTGAATTTAAAAGAAGAAAAAATAACTTTTCAAAGCTCGGTTTTTTAAATAAATGTTTAATTTGCGGCATATTTTCTATTTTAAAGTCGTAAACAAATTGGTTTGAAGAAAAGAACATTTTTTTTAAGTAACATGATTAAATTTTTATGAATTAAGCGTGTTGATACCAAGTTTTGTAGGAAGACAACAATAAATATCCTTATTTACCATCGATATTTTCAACTTATACCCTTCTCTTTAAATTTTTCTCAATATGCAATCTCTAAGATGCTCTTTATCTAAAATATTGAACAACTTAGGCTTTAAAAAATACATTCTAGAAATGTACAGTTAAAATAAGCTCCATTGGGTTGTTTCAAGGAATTCTTTCGGAAATACGGTTGCATACTGTTTTACATTTAAAACAGACCAAAACAATTTCCTGCAAAATGATTTGAATTAAAGACAGTGATAAATAGTGTGTTTAAAATTAGAAAAACGGGAATCATTTAATTCTGAAATAAATAACAGAGTGAGGAAGGTGAAGAATGTTCTTTTCCTAGTCTAGGAATGTCAAAACGCTGCTATCAAGAAGACTAGTCTTTATATATTTATTTAATTATGAGTTAATGCCCAACAACTGAACAATTAAAGGTTACTTCCTCTAATTGTTAGCATAATTTTCAGTTTCCAAAGGGTTTCCTTTCAATAAATTAATAGCTATAATTAATCACAGCAAATAATTAAAGAGTTTTAGATTAACAATTAACGTAAGGAATGATATACCAGCTTATATGTTTTTAATACTATCAGCGCGTTTTAGTTTCTGTTAGAGTTATTATTATAATTATATGTATATTTTTTAAAGCTAGTTTTATCTACCAATTCTAAAACTCCATTATATTCATATTTTCCACAGTTTTAAATAAAGCATATCCCGATAAAAGTAGGTTTTATTAAATATTTAAGGAATTTACATATTTAAACAAAACTAATCTGATTTAATTAAAATATTTAAAGAAAACTCTTTACCTCTAACTAACTTTTAAAATAAGCCACGTGATGTATTTACGGATAACGATATTAATACTAAACATTTAGTCAAACACTAAAACAACAATTTACAAATTCAAACATACCAATCAATTAATGTTAGATAAGCTTTGATGCAGCCAAAAATTTTGATGAAAGAAAAAGCTTGTTAGCTTATTTAATAGATGTGAGAATTGGTGAGGATGTAAACTAGCATTCTATTGAACCTGATCATAGTTTATCATCATCATAGTTTTCCAGACAGGCCAATATGGGTTAATGCCTTCCTCTGAAGATTTCTCCACACTGAGTTCCGATTTATCTTTGATCTCCAATTCTTTTCATTAATTGCAAGAAAATCAAACTCCACGGAGTCAGCCCATCTCAACCGCGGCCTTCCCCGCTTTCTTGTTCCAGTGGGCTTAAAAAGCAGCATCTTTTTTATTATATTGCAATCTCTCATCCGAGTCACGTGGGCCATCCAATTCATTATATTTATTTTTTTGTATTTAATAATATCGGGTTGTTTATAAATCTTGCGTAGCTTAAAGTTAAATCTCCTTCCCCAATTATTGTTTTCAAGTACTCCGCAAAATCGTTCTCTCAAATAGTGTGAGGATTTTCCTCCAGTTGTGTCATCGCCCAAGCTTCTGACTAGCTTGACAAGAGTTTTGTTGACTAAGAATAGTTATTTGGTTTAATAAACCTCAACATTGGTTTATTAAACCTCAACCTGATCATAGTTATTTGGTGTAATAAACCTCAGCAATTATTTGCTTCCATGTAAAAAAAAATTCTATATTTTGAAGTCATGTGATTTGAAAAATCATAATAGTCATATATATGTTATTCAAAGCTTTATTATGTATAATTTTATGTTAATAAATTAATGTCTAAATAAAGTAAGCAGATATTTAACAGTGTTACGCTTAACACAAAATTATAGATGAGGTGAGGTGCATATTTAATTATATGTTCAACTCTGCATACGCCGCGTCATGCATGAATATTCAGATAAAGGGAAAAGAAAAAAGTGCTTGAAATTTTTTAAAATTTTTTTTAAAAAAAAGGAATAGGGGTTCATGTATATTTATTAAGTCCTTTAATGTTTAGTATTAATAATAAAAATTAAACTTAGTCAATCAAGTCTTAAAATCCAAAAATATCCATGCAGAGGATCAATGCGCTCATACATCATGCTGACCCTAATCAAATTGAATCTATTCCAGATTGTATTCTTATTAATTGGTATTTGAAGAAGCATTTCATCAAAACAGAGCACGTGATTGAAATAAACGTTTAAAGATATTAAGTATAATTATTTCAAACTCAAAGTGATAAGATTGACTTTTTGTTACAAAACTATTAATATAAACGTTACTTTTGATATTGTTAGAACATATAACGATTAAAGTTTTCCAACAAAAAATCCCTAAGTCCTCAACTTCCAACCAATTTCAAAACGCACCATTGTCTAAATTACAAATGGACACTTTCATTGCTGATTATATGGGGAAATATATGCTCTGTTTGAAATTTCTCAGGACAAGTGGTTATATAATAATTTATTTAATTGTTATTTGATTAATTTAATTGTTATTTTACCATATTCAAACAAAACAGTCGAATATCTATAAATTAGGTGGTATTCAAGCTTCTGACTGTGAGAAAAATCGTTCAAAACTGCTTTCCCCTTATACGGTTAAACAACCAGAATTTTATAGCACCAACTAAGCCCACCTAATGAAGCCACTTAGTCCCTTGCATCTGGGTTCATATTATAGCAGAAAGGGCTAATCTGTCAGTCTCAAGTTCGACAGAATGAGGGTTCCAGTCCCAGCGTTGGCATCCGAATATTTTCTCCCTTCTCTTCAACACATGAAGAGTTTTCAGTGTCCTACATTCCCCAATTTATGTAAAAAGCGTAGCTCCAATGTCCAGTTAAATTTCCCTTTTTACTGTTTTGAAACCATGCTACTTGTAAATGGTTTTAAAAAACTTGTTATTTTGTATTCATAATTGTATAACAGTACTGGTTGTAAACGGTTTGAAAAGCATAAGGCTCTTTACCGTGAGCTTTACGGTTAACTGGATGGACAGACTGTTGACGGTTATTTTACCGTGATTTTAGAATAAAAATTCCAGCAGTGCAGAAATTTAAAAAAAAAGTGGAGACTATTTTAAGACAAAAAGAAATACTTAAGTTGCATGCAATGGAAATATCAACGAGCACGTTCCCTTTTCAGACAATGAAACTTCCCATTGAGAATACAGCAAAATATGGATATTTTTTAAAAGAACTCTTATCTTTATATGTAACTTATAATTATTTAAGAACAAAAAACAGTGAGATATCATCTCATTTTTATTAAAAACAAGACTACTGAAAAACATTTTTTTTAGAACTGAATTTTTATAAAATATTATGAGAGCTGTTGAAATGTGATACTGTTAAATACCGCTTATTATGTTTCTTTTTTATTTCGTAGAATTTCTCAAAATTTTTTAGTCAAGTTGGAAAAAAATTATGATACTTAATGAAGCAGATCACTTGCTTTACATAAGATGTCTTCATTCTTTTTCCAGTGTAAAAATATTTTTAATGCATTCCTCAGTTGTATCGCTCTTTTAGATATTAGTTATTTTTCTAAGAAACATAATCAAATGATACGCAAACCCACTCAATAACAATTGTTTAAAATGAATAGTTTAACTTCTTCATCACACATTTTTTTATTGCAAATCTATCATATAAAAGTTAAATTAAAACTTTTAAGCAATTTTCTTCTCTTCAGTTCTTGTATTTCAGTTGCCATCGAATACTAAACCTAGTTAGTATCATCTTCTTGTTTTTCAAAAATTAATTTTTAAAGTCCAGGATCTTTTTGTTTGTTTCGAATTTAACATATTTTGCTTTCAAGAAAAGGCCAATTTTTTGACAATATTATCCTAAAATACTTTCATATTGAATGTTTCAGACTTTCTAGTAGTAAGAGCTTGCACTAATGAGATGGCCTCGAAAGACGTTTATATTAGAGCATAAAACTTTGTTTAAATTGTTCATAAGAATTGTCAATTTTGGCAGAATTATGTTGTTCACTGTAAACATGCATACTTGGTTTTCGGAGCGATAGGAGTTTATGTTGAACTCCGATGCTGAATACCAAATTTAGTGTTATGAAGAAACAAAAGTAATTGATTTTCTGATCTATTTTGAACAGTGAAATTTACTTGAATGTCACTGAACACTTGATTTGATAATATATGGTGTCCTAAAAATAACTGACATTCAAAATTGCATAAAAATACACTGGCAGAAGATCACAATGATACATAATAATGCAGACTTCAGTGCGGGAAAGAAGTAGTGCGGAACGCTGTAGTGCGGAAAGATGTCGTGTATAAGAAGAAGAAAATTGTTATAAAAATATTTCAAAGTTGATTATTATCTTCCAGCCACGCGCGCATCACATTTGAAAAGATAAACTAAGAACATTTTTCTTTAATGGCAATTAAAATATCAGTTTCGGGGTGTGTTTTCAAAACGAGAAATAACCCAGATTCTTGTTTTATACCTTCGAAACTCATCATCCACCACATAGTAAATAAAAGAACACAGACACTAGAGCATATCAATATTATACTCGAAATTACTTCTGAAAATTATTTC